ACATTAGGGTATAGAGGGGTATCTCATCTATACATTAGAGTAGAGGCTGGTATCTCATCTATACACTAGTGTAAAGAGGGGTATCTTATCTTTACATTAGTGTATAGCGGGGTATCTCATCTATTCATTAGTGTAAAGAGGGGTATCTCATCTACACATTTGGGTATAGAGGGGTATCTCATCTATACATTAGTGTAGAGAGATATATCTCATCTATACATTAGTGTAGAGAGATATATCTCATCTATACATTAGTGTAAAGAGGTATATCTCATCTACACATTAGTGTAGAGGCTGGTATCTCATCTACACATTAGTGTAAAGAGGGATATCTCATCTACACATTAGTGTAGAGGCTGGTATCTCTTCTATACATTAGTGTATAGAGGGGTATCTTATCTTTACATTAGTTAGTATTATCGTAAGAATGTGATGTAAATTTTAATCTTACTACAAATGCCGATGACTTGTTTCTTGTTGTTTACTTGGGTCCTTTTTCGTCAATTCCATCTCCGTATGACAGACATAGGAGTCCCTTAGTGATGACGGTATATCCCTGTGGGTACACTGCTACAATCTAAATCTACAGAAAAATGCTTGTCGACTGATCGCTCACATGATGTAAACCTGTTGGGTTTTAAAAGAATAGACGAAAATGTAAGACTTTCCAAAATAAAAGCTTACCAAAGTGAGCCAGTTTGTAATGCTCATTGGAGTGCATTGCAGTTTTGTTGTCGTTATCTGAGTTCTTGGTGTTAAGATATGACATGACCTGGATTTGATCCTTATTGACATTACGGGTTCCATCGATGAAGAAGAAGGCGCTTACATCTCCGGAAAGCCTGGTCTTATTCCCACTGTACTTTTCCAAGGTATATATCATTCTTTTGTTTTCAATTTGCGATTTTGAGTTTAAATGATGCTTTTTTTTTGTTGTCCACAGGTACTGACCATATTTTATTTTCCTTCCATTTATTATATATATATAATCATTATAGTGAATGTTATACAATGACGAAATGAGTCCGAAAAAAATTCCTGAATTATTTATAATGTGTGTGTCAATGAAGACGTTTACACCTCCGGAAAGCCTGGTTCAGTTGCTATATACAATGTATTTCTGAAGCAACCTTAAGAAATGAGTCAGAAAAGGATATAAAGACAAACTCTGATCAAATCTACTGAAAACATCCTTTCTACCTAACCTTTTTACAAACATCCCTCCTCCCAAATACGACGTAGTAAGCGAAACTGGTTCGTCATTAAAATGATCGTCCAATTATTCAACTATGAATTTCGGTTATAAAAACGACTCGCTTCTCTGAAACCAAAATAGCATGACATGCGAAACGCTTACACGACCAAATGCAAGGTGACAAACATCCTCGAAATGTCATAGAGAAATTTAAGGTACCCTGCTAGCTACACCAATAATTATAAAAGCCATGGTCGAATCGCTTGGACGGCCGATTGTCAACAGGCCGTTTCAGTTAGCTTTTCTAATCATCCCGAGCCCTTCGCTCCTTCCGGGCTATTCATATATAGTTGACGACGTCAGCTAACCACAACGTTATACACTAACACATTTGTTATATTACTCAATCCATGTTCAGTGTAACTTATCAATATTTGATTTGATTGTTTTTTCTTTAGTTGTTGATTTTCTGCATGGTGTAATAAACATTACAAAAACAAAACAGAAACAATAACAAAAAGACATCTATATATATTTCATATATAATATTAAGAACTATTTCACATATTTTATTTACGTTTCATTTCGTTCTCTAGAGTTTAACGTTTTTGTATGCTATACGTTTTTAATATTTTAGTATACTCAGTAGTAGTAGTTATGTAAAATACATTCAAAACATTAAATCATATTAACACATAAAATGATATAATAAGATACAGGAAAATCACGTGACAACCACCTGAGCGTAGGCCACGTGATATGTGTCAGTATTGTCTGTGTCTTTGCTATCGTCAGGTTTACTTGGTCTCCGTACAGAATCGTCTAATCCTGTCGTATCCACCTTGACATATATCAAACCCTCATCGGTCGTGTTTGATGTGCGTGTTGCATTTTCATCAGGTTTGTTCTTTTTAGGTTTGTTTACAACAGCATACAGGTCATTTCCGTCTCCACTCAGGTTCGACAACTCAATTTCGTTTTGTTCACCTTCTTCGCTTTGTTTGGGGTGGGTTTTCTTTACCTGAGCGTATTCCACTTCCGTTGAATTTGACTGTGGAAGCTGAACAGTGGAATAGTTACCATTTGATGGAATATGATGAGAGGTGTCGTATAGAATGTTCTTTTTCATACCATCTCTCTCCTCAACGCTGTTGGCTCCAGTAGCACTGGTAATTGGATTGGACGTTCCGTACGGGTCTATGGTGTCATCGATATAGCTTTCTCTACCTTTGGAGGATTTGCCATGTTTTCTGACGAATGAAACAAAATTTAAATATCTTATAGCACAGAGCGAATTCCGAAATAAACAATTTATATTTTTTCGTTTATTTTGACGTTCTCTAGGTAGGCGCCCTTTTGGTACTGGCTTGGAGTTATAATTTTGCCTCTCTGTCCTTATAGAGTGGTATACTTTGTCATTGGTTAAAGACGAAGTGGTACTAGCGTTATATTAAGTGTTTATCCACAAACGGAATGATTTATTTTGACTCTGTGCAAAGAAAGGGTTGGATATTTTGTCTGTGTGACTCAGTGATATATTTTGTCGTTGTGCAGAGAAAGGAATGGCATATTTTGTCACTGTGACGGAGCGATGTATTGTGTCTCTGTGCAGAGAAAGAGTGGCATATTTTGTCACTGTGACGGAGTGATGAATTTTGTCTCTGTGCAGAGAAAGAGTGATATATTTTGTCTCTGTGACGGAGTGATGTATTCTGTCTCTGTGCAGAGAAAGAGTGGCATATTTTGTCACTGACGGAGTGATGAATTTTGTCTCTGTGCAGAGAAAGAGTGGTATATTTTGTCACTGTGACGGAGCGATGTATTCTGTCAATGTGCAGAGAAAGAGTGGCATATTTTGTCTCTGTGACGGAGTGATGGATTTTGTCTCGGTGCAGAGAAAGAGTGGCATATTTTGTCTCTGTGACGGAGTGATGTATTCTGTCTCTGTGCAGAGAAAGAGTGGCATATTTTGTCCCTGACGGAGTGATGAATTTTGTCTCTGTGCAGAGAAAGAGTGATATATATTGTATCTGTGACGGAGTGATGTATTCTGTTTCTGTGCAGCGAAAGAGTGGCATATTTTGTCACTGTGACGGAGTGATGGATTTTGTCTCTGTGCAAAGAAAGAGTGGTATATTTTGTCTCTGTGACGGAGTGATGTATTCTGTTTCTGTGCAAAGAAAGAGTTGTATATTTTGTCTCTGTGACGGAGTAATGGATTTTGTCTCAGTGCAGAGAAAGAGTGGCATATTTTGTCACTGTGACGGAGCGATGTATTCTGTCTCTGTGCAGAGAAATAGTGGTATATTTTGTCTCTGTGACGGAGTGATGGTTTTTGTCTATGTGCAGAGAAAGAGTGGTATATTTTGTCTCTGTGACGGAGCGATGTATTCTGTTTCTGTGCAGAGAAAGAGTGGTATATTTTGTCTCTGTGACGGAGTGATGGATTTTGTCTCTGTGCAGAGAAAGAGTGGTATATTTTGTCTCTGAGACGGAGTGATGGATTTTGTCTCTGTGCAGAGAAAGAGTGGCATATTTTGTCTCTGTGACGGAGTGATGGAGTTGTCTCTGTGCAGAAAAAGAGTGGTATATTTTGTCTCTGTGACGGAGTGATGGATTTTGTCTCTGTGCAGAGAAAGAGTGGCATATTTTGTCTCTGTGACGGAGTGATGATGTTGTCTCTGTGCAGAAAAAGAGTGGTATATTTTGTCTCTGTGACGGAGTGATGTATTTTGTCTCTGTGCAGAGAAAGAGTGGTATATTTTGTCTCTGTGACGGAGTGATGTATTTTGTCTTCATGCAGAGAAAGAGTGGTATATTTTGTCTCTTTGACGGAGCGATGTATTATGTCTATGTGCAGAGAAAGAGTGGTATATTTTGTCTCTGTGACGGAGTGATGTATTTTGTCTTCGTGTAGAGAACGAGTGGTATATTTTGTCTCTGTGACGGAGTGATGTATTTTGTCTTTGTGCAAAGGAAGAGTGGTATATTTTGTCTCTGTGACAAGTGATGTAATTTGTCTTTGTGTACTGATAGTAAGAACTATCTTCTTCCACATTACTTTACTTTAGGTCATGAAATGATAACTCCAATTGTGGGGAACAATGGTTACTGTCTGTGTATACTACATGTTTAGAAATATGACTTACCTTGAACATACTATAGCGATGATCAATATGATCACGATAAGGAGGAATCCTCCTGCAGCGGTTGGTATCACGATAATCACTGTTGAATAAAGAAAAAAATATTTGCATTGATAAGCAAGAAATAAACGGATTTACTATTAATATAGATAAAAAAAAATATCATAGAGTATAACAAATAAAATATGAAGAAATGCACAGGTGTAAGATAACATCAAGAGGCAACAATCTAAACGAGATATAACTCTAATCGTATGTTTGGAACAAAATTTCATTTTCATGTTAATTTAAATTTCAAAGATTTATCTAAGAAATACAAAACACAATAAGAAAATAAGAAAATCAAAATATCATTTCTAGAATATATATTTCTTCTATAAACATTGTATCGAAAACCCAATAAATATTATTTGGTGTTTAGAGCCATGTGATAACGTATATTGCAAACATAAAATACCTACACGGCAAACTATCCACTGTGCTCTGTGTACTTGTATCGCTAGGTAAGCTAGATGTTGGATGTGATGACGTTGGACCCGCACTTGCTGTTCCTTGGTCAGTGTTAGACACATTGGTAATTACTGGTGTGGTCTGTTCATCGGTTGTGCTAGGCTTCTCTGTGTGATTTGTAGTTTGACTGGTAGTTTTAGCTACTGTGGTAGTACTTGTACGAGTTGACGGTGGTGTGGTGGTCGTCTCTGGCTTAGAACACGTAATTGTAAAGGTGGTGTTTGGTAATATCAGATATCCTACAATGATAGACGGAAATGAAGAATGATAGATATATATGGAATCAGGTTACCCTTGCATTGGTGCATGAAATAGCATATAGCACAGAATTGCAGTCCCCGAAGCCTATATATATGGTCAATTTGTTTGACACAGACAAAAGAAAAACAACCGTGATTCCAACCATTTTGCAATCAACATGGAATAATTTTCCTAAAAAGCAGAGAAGAACTGGTAGGACGTAATAACGACAGTCATCCCCGACATTTACGTTATCTGCATCCCGGAATATGTCATGACAAAGTTGAAGGCTTTCTATGCGCCGCATTGCTGATGATACAACAAGGCAAGTCCAATCCGTTGGTACATACCATAAGAATCTCGCGGCAGCATAACGGTAAAACAACACAACTTTGCGGGTGTCGCACCTCTGTAGTCTTAATAGGACAAGTATCAGCCCAGTAATTGGTCTGTTCTCTATACATGAAACTAATCTTATAGCTAACTTTGTGCCTTTGATATCGTCATGACATAATCCAGGGATGCAGAGAACGCAGGTGATCGTGTCACATGGGATTGCGAAGATGAACAACATTGTAAATTAAACATTTCCTTAATGAGTGTTGGACATTGTACACGTTTGCCTGGAATACTTTAACACATTTCCGCGTATTTGTCAACTTAAGCATCTTCCCCCGGCGGTTGAGATCCCTCATCTTACCCCCAAGCAGGGAAATAATCTTTTTTCTGAATTTTGACTTTATATCAATGCATTGTTAACGTGACGTCATATACTTGTTTTAGATAGTAATATACCTTTGTCGCCATCTTACGGTGAGACTAATATATCCTGTTACCGGGACATATGTGGAAACACCTGTCCTGTGTGAGCGAAAACAAGAGTCCACGTGGTCGTAGTAAAACCTGGAATTTGCGACTCTAATGATCATGTCAAGAACAATGTTTTCCAAAGTTTTTACCAAGAGCTTGATATAACGAAAGTAAGTAAAAAAGTAAAAGATACACCTGGATTGATTTTAAAGACCATGAAACAATACAACAACGATCATTAATAAATTGATTTAGTTATTGTGTTAAAAATTCATATTCTTTTATAAATAAGATGAATTTTCAAAATTGTCTATTATTTTCTATATAGAATAGTCGGTAGTTTTTGGAAAACACTGCGATTTATTGAAAGTTATTGAATTATGGATTGTATGTCCCCTTTATTTGGAAACGTACAGTAATTGAAATGTATTTTGAAGAATATTCCTAAATCAATATTGATTTCCGTAAATCTTTTGACCACGTTAACAACAAAGTTGAAAATAAATCGATGTTCAGGAAATCCAATGCAGGTCATCCTCATATCTGTCAAATACATTTAAGAAAACATAATTTATAAATTCTCTTGGTTATTACTGTGTAATCAAAATATCATCTCCCGATACTGGAAATTATATACATTTATTATATTCCCAACAATTTACCACTCTGCTCGAAGTATTGAGAATGTTGTATGTATGCAGATGATACTTCAATTCAAAATGTAGACAAGAAAATTAATGTCATTGAACCTTGGTTCCTGCGTTACTTAATGTATAAAACGGATTATTTGAAGAAACAAAGACTTCCGAATAAAGGTCCTACTATTTCAGCAGATTTACATAAGTATCTTAAAGAATCACACGTCATTGTAGCTATCATTTTTTTCTGCCATATATTCCCCTTTATGAAAACAAGTTGAATAATGCTCAATGAAGTTGATGAAAAATGGTAGAAAGCACTTTAAAAACGTGAAGGATAATATTGAGTCAATTTTACCCCTTTGTCATATCGACATATACATATGTATACATGTGTGATTATTAAATTTTTGAAATGTAATTTTGTTATTTTCATGGCTTGTGATGAACTTGTTTTTTATGATTACACCTGTAACATACACATGAATATAGGTTATATGCCGATATCCAGTCAATGTATGTACATGTTTTAGTATCATATTCTTAAACATGTGATGTAAATCTAGTGCATTTTTATACCAACCACCAGTGCAAATAGTCCTTGAGCAATTAATGCATGTAGATAGTTTTTATCATTAAATGATGGAACTTATATGATCACAACTTCAAAGACCGTTTTTATTTACCTGTAATATTGAGACAGTACTTAGAATCTCCACCAGGCCCACCACTCCATGTTATAGTCATTGGTGGGTTATAAACTAGTGCTTCCGGAAATGTGTTACATGTTAAGCTTTGAATTCTCTCTCCAGTTTTTATTGTATCGTTGACCACTATTTCACTGCCACATCCGGGTGTACTTGGATTCAGCCCAATACCGTAATATTGTACGTATACGATAAAAATAATTGTAGCGTTAACAGTACACGAACAAGTTGTCTCCCCTGTTGCTCCGGCGCTGTGTGTGTCCAGTATCACTTTGTCTGACGTCACGTTGCCATCCTCACACATTCGAATGTCTATGATTAAAAGAAAATTTAAGATTATATTTTGAAAACACAATTGAAATGTTTGTAGTTTGTATAAAAAGTAGTTTGTAAAAAAAGTTGCTTAAAACAGAACCGTAGAAAAGCAGAGACACAGTGTCGACGGACCAAATTAATCGATCACCAACAGATTTAAAGGGAGCAATGTCGGCTAATTAGTTCACTACTCTTTCAGTCAAAGAAGGCTTATTATTCGGAAAGAATCGAAGAATGCGGTAAGGATAATAGACAGCTTTTTAGACTCACCAAAAACCTAATGAGACACAAAGGTGAAATTATCCTACCAAACTGTAATTCTGAAAAAGAATTAGCAAGCAAGTTCAGTGATTACTTTCTGAATTAAATCAACTCAATCAGGAAAATAATTGCCAAAGTGAACAAGTGAGTTTGATCCACTGCCTAGAGACCTATTAAAGAAAAGTCTTGAAGCACTGATTCCTTTGATTACCTCAATTATGAACAAATCATTGGCTGAGTCAAAGGTTCCATTATGTTTCAAGAAGGCACATGTCAGACCATTGTTAAAGAAGCCTCGAATGGACCAGGACGAGTTGAAAAACTACCGCCCAGTTTCAAATCTGTTTCAAGATCTTGGAGAAGGTTGTGTCCCGGCGTTTAGATGTTCATCTCCATGCAAACAGTCTCCATGACATCATGCAATCGGCCTACCGCATGGGACACTCTACTGAGACGGCCCTCCTACTTGTACATAATGATATAGCTTCTGCATTGGATAACAAGTGCAGAGCGGTGCTTGTCATGCTGGCCTTGTCAGCTGCATTTGACGTCATCGACCATGGCATACTTTATAAACGTCTGGAATACTCTTATGGAGTGACTGATACCGCACTATGCTGGATACAGGCTTACCTGAGTGAACGACGACAGTGTGTTGTCATCGGATCTTCAACCTCACATGACAAAGTACTAGATTCCGGGGTTCATCAAGGGTCGGTGTTAGGACCACGAAAACATTGTATGTACTCCAAACCGATTGAAGAGATTTGTCGTCGCCATATCCTTCGCTATCATTGCTATGCTGATGACACACAAATTAACATGGTCATCAAAACACAGATATCAGTATCTGGATGTATCGCCAACATGCTTAAGCTTAATCAGAAAAAGACGGAACTAATCGTCTTTTCCCCAAAGTGTCAGCAAACAATGGCTCTCAAGCTCAAGGTCCGTGCCAGAACTATTGAGACTGTTCCAGCTGTTAACAACCTAGGGGTATACTTTGATAATTCACTGAACATGGCGAAACAAGTGAACTTTATTGCCAAATCATGTTACTTCCAGATCAGGAACATTGGCTGTATTCAGCAGTTTATAACTGCAGATGCATGCAAGATTTTGGTGCATTCACTTGTTACCTCTCGGTTGGATTATGGTAACGCCCTGCTCTGTGGTATATCTGACAAACTAACTAGTCGTCTGCAGAGGGTCCAGAACACTGCAGCACGGCTAGTTACTCGTACTCGAAAGAGAGAGCACATCACACCTGTGCTTTATTCGTTGCACTTGTTACCTGTACGATACACTAGGTCACAGTACAAAATTCTGGTATACAAGGCACTGAATGGAACAGCTCCTCAGTACCTACAGGAGCTTGTTACCCTGTATCAGCCGTCACGATCACTGCGGTCGGAGTCAGAATCTTTGTTGTGTGTTCCAAAATCTCGTACTGTGACCTACGGAAACAGATGAAGGGTTTCGGCTACGTTGTGGAATAGCTTACCATCTGCTATTAGAAAGTCAAATACCCTGGCCAAGTTCAAGAGGGACATCAAAACTCACCTCTTCACGTCTGCATTTTAGAATACTTGTAAAGACGTCATGTAAACACCACCCTTTTATCTGTTCAAGTATGTGCACATTGCTTGTTTAAATGTATAAAAGTGATTGTAAGCCTTTGTTTGTTTTGTTTTCACAATCATAACCATTACTATTATCAATATGTTGTAAAGCACTTTAGAGTTATTTTACAAATTATATAGGGCGCTATATATAAATGTTGTATATTATTTTATTATTATATATATAAAACACTCATAAAGGGATTGTTCCTAATGAGAGCAGGTTGTTGATTGAAAACAAGTCAGAAACATAATTTATAGGCAAATGGTTGTTTCGTGATAGTCACGATAATAGGTAACCGTAATTATGCATAGTCCAGAAATATTGTTTTTTGTCCCCTAGACAAATCGAAAATTATTTTCTACCTTCAGTTAGACCCCTGAGAGTGATTGAAACCAAAAGGTTGCATCGTCTATAGTCTACGGCTTGGGCACTATTTCATCATGCACTTAACAACACTATGAGATACTAGTGGTTACATCATATGACTTTAAATATTGTTTTAAAATGAAAAATAAGTGTTTGTGTTGACTGTTTAATCAGTGCACCTATGCGGAAAATAGGGAAAGCTACTATTATGCGCCAAAACTAAATTTATAAAGCCAAGATATTGTCGCAAAGATCGAGTACAACTCATTATATTATACACACAGAGAGATCGCAAATGTGTGACATACTCTTTTGAATAAAAAAGAGATATTTCATATAAACAATAATCTCAAGCTACACGGCTATAGTTAACCGTAGAAGAATAGGACAATAGTGTGCCTCCCAGTCCTCTGCTCTGCCAATCGAGCTAAAGAAAATTTCCCTCTAGCACGAAGGTAGAAGCCGAGCGTAATCCTATGTACAAATGACACCAGCTACACTACCCCCCACCCCCGACCCCCACACCCTTTAAAATTTGAAGTCCCTCACAAACGCAACGACAACCTGAGTTACCATTTGTAACAGGAAAGATAATTGTGTGTTTCCACCAGGGATCGAACCAGTGACCCCAGCTTCCGCAGCTCTAGTGATCCAGTAAAAGGCATATTCTCATTAACGCGAAGCTCGAAGGCGACCATAATCCTATGTGCAATTAAAGCTTACTACTCATCTGTTTAAAACCTATTGTGCATATTTCTAGAGCTCCATCGGGGTCGGTTTGGACATGGTTTGGTGATTTGTCTTGAAAGTACTGTTTACCTTTCAAAGTTCAGTTATAATTTGACTCGAATAATTACAAATGAGTGTCCAATGGGAAAAAGATTAAGGAACGCCACTGACCTTTAACAGCTGATAAAAGATACGCCCTGTAAACTAACTCGGAAATCAAAAGACAAAGTGTGCTGCAAGTGACTAGTTTGTTACTTACATTGGTAGACGAGTGATACCCGCCTATCGAAGTAGTATATTTATAGTATGTCAATTATCAATATGAATATGTTGATGGAAGTATTCACAGTAGGAAATTATGGTTTTAATGAGTTTTTGTACGGGGTGGTAAAGTAAGATTCGTAAAATAACTTAATTTATCTACAGTATATATAAATAGCATACATACAAAGGTACAATATAAGTAAGAATTAAGTTACATCGATTGGCATAACATTAATATTAATACATAGTCACTCAAGTTTGGTATCATTAAGGTCAGTGTTTTACAAATATTGTCCTTTAAACAACGATAAAACAACTTACATGGTATGTTTTCTGATTCAGCAGCATCTGAACACTCGCTCTCAGTAGTGCCTAAAAATAATCATCAAAAATTAATAACATTATTCTGTATTTGGAATACAGACAAACAGTAACTTACAATAAAACACACATTTGAATAAGCAACTGAATTTTGAGAACAGTAATTTGACATCCAAAAAGGCTAGTATCACGGTTTGTAAATGTCGTGTGTAATGACGTTTTACTCTGTGAAGCGTGTAGGATAACTGTCCCGAGATATTATTGCTAGAATATGGACTATGTCATGTAATTCTAAATCTACAACGTAGAATAGTATTGGGGGAAAAGTATACGATAAAAAGCCTGCAAAATAAGAAATGTGATATGTCGCCTTTGGAACCTGAAAACATAAGCATAATGCTTTAAATTGGGACCATTAAATCAAATTTAAAATAATTGGCAAATCCTTAAAGGATGAATATAAGACATTCACAGGTGATTGCATCCATAATTGGTAATGTCAAAAAGGACTCATCAGTGTTACTAGGGGTCGAAAAGAGCAGGTTTTGGTTTTGCTGTTCATAAGTAGGGTCACCTCATATATCAAATAAAATGATTAAATATCGATATAAGAAAAAAAAGCCTACTTTATGTCACGGTTCGGTTAGGTAACTATATCGTTTTATCATACATCTATGCTTAGGTAACGCATTTACGCTACTTACACGTTTCAAGGCAGTCGGTGCATTGTATCAACAACTACCTTAGAAATGCTCCTCTGTTCTATATATCACACACATTCAACAAATAAAAGTATGTTTAAGTCAGGTATGAACTTTAAAAATGTATCAAAGTTGGCTGATCATGCGGAAAGGATGATGAATGTTTTTACAAACCGCATACATCTCAATAAGCTTTTCCTTACAATCCTTTTCATTTAAATTTCATTTTAAATTTTGATATGATCTTTTTTAAAACATACATTTCTATATTGATTGTGTATATCTTGAGAACAGGGTGGAATTAATTTTAGATGTTCTAGTTAATTGTATATTCTTTAGTATGGTCGCTGTTTTCGTGTATTACTACAATCATATTTTCTATTGTTCGTGTTGACGCAAAACAATAGGAAGTCGACGATTTTCTATAAATAGTGTCATATGCAATATATCAATAATATCAATAACAACAATAAAAAACCCTAACCCCCCCCCCCCCTCCCCCAAAAAAAAAATAAAAAAAAAAAAAAAAACCCCCCCCCCCCCCCCCCCCCCTCAATAAATCTCAATAAAACAATATTAAATACAAAATGACTTTGTCACTGAAAAACTTAGAGATAAAATATCTTACTATTAAGAGTGAAGAACAAAGGCTACTCTCAGTCAGCAACGTTGAAATAATCATAATCAATTTGGATACTACAACATTATATTTCTCGTGTTATCGACAAGTACCCTTCATCCTAGTGTTCAATTTCGTGCAGTTTTGTACAGAGCTCCTGAAGTCACATTCAGTGCATGGTATTTGCTGGTGCCACATTTCTGTATATTGTAGTGTCAAAACAAAGCAGTTAAAAAAGGAAAATGTAAAATTAGTCAAAGGTTTTACTGTTATCAAATTGCGCCCTAAGAAGCTACAAGGCTTATCATTGGCGTCTACAACTGTATAAACTATATGAACTAAAACATGACCAGGGATAGCAGAAAGAGAATTAAATACTTGTTGATAATCTCACCAATTAAACCCAATGTTCAGCTAATACCTCTGAGAATTTATTGATATTTGTTACACTGTAACAAAAATCGATGAGATGATATCCAAATCAATCACCAATAGTGAGTATGATATAGTAATGTATTGTATCAGAAATGCCATGGTCAGTCATTTCAGTAAATGTAAACAGTAATCTATATGCCCTCCGCACATTCTTCTTCCTAGTTGACATGTAGGTGATTCTTATCAAAACCATGCATTTTAAGAGTAGCTAGTCGACTCAGTATTACTTACCTTGAATGTTTAGAAGAAGAATGATAAAAAACACCATCATAGTCTCCATTATGCTGGTTGTAACTGTACATGTAGTAAATACCTTGTAGAACACAGAAACAGGCGATTGTCAGCGAAGATTTACTGTTTAAATGCACCCGGAAGACTTACTACACCAAACTGTACCATATATATACACACACACATACTAGTTTTAAATACTCCCTGTGTATTTAAGGAAAAGTAACGCAAGACAGCACACATTTAATGTGCCTCATCCTACAATAACCGGTTAGTATTGTGTTACCGGTTTCTATTTACAAATTTCCATGTAATACACAAACACACAAGCGCAGTGTACACATGTGCTGGATAAGTAAAACTAGCTTTATTATTTCGTTTATAAATTTACCGAACTTAATATAAGTTACGTAGTAATATCTTTTCAAAAATACAAACTGAAATTGTGTTTGCTTGTCTTTCGTCCAACTGTTACCCAGATCGCACTGAATGACACTGTACAACCGTTTATTTTTTCCCTCTACTCTGTCGGCTTGACCTATTCCTTGATAGCATTGAGCAACTTCAGTTTTGAGGATAAAAGGTTAACACAGCGAAATCGTCTTTGAAAGCCTGTATCGTAATAATTGTAGTTTTGTCTCTGTCTGTTGCCGTCCTGTTCTCGTCGTAGGCAACACTGCGACAAGGTATCGGGTATAGACATATCGGAAGTTATAGAAACAATCTAGCATGGGTTTCAACTTCCAAAACATTAATGAGGTAAGTTCATGATTTAATGTTTCATTTGAATGAGCCTCTCTGGTGACCAAAATGTCAAATTCTGTTTTTCTTATAAATAAGTCTATTGTTCGTGAAAACATTTTCTCAGACTGACTTATATAAAACAGGCTTTGAGAGGTCACAATAAGTCTGATAACATGACTTTGTTGCACTTGTAACGTCACAAATGAAACCATGATAACCTAGTCAATTACAGCTTCATAAGGTGTAAGTAAACCTGTGTTCATAACAAAATTGATAGAACAGGTGTTATTCTTACTGATAACAGTGTACTTATATTATATAAATTGTTATCACTGATATTGTCAACTTATTTTCTGACTTAATAAATCATAAAGGGCTCGCTCGTAAAGGGTATCACAATGATATACAGGAACCTTACTCTTAACAATATGCTACACCATACATCCCATAATAATTTCGTTAAATGAACTAACTTATACTTTCGCATTCATGCTCAACAGCCATGCGATACCCGTTTAAAACACACCATTGTGATTCTCCAGTCTACATTGTTATGTTAAAGACAGCTTTTCACTTCATCACTGGTCAACATCCCAACATTGGCATAGATTTATTTTAAAAGGAAACTTTACCACATAACGTGATTTTCTTCGTAGATTCAGCATCAATTTAAAACTTCCGCTTAAAAAATAATTTACTAATTTGTATCAATGAAAATCCTCAGATTACAGAAGGAAAATTTAGTCATATATACTCTATCTCCAATTTTTACACTTTTTCGTCTTTCTACCTGCTAAATTAGCCATGCAATATAATTTACATATATACAATGGCAGCAAATTCATCCATTTTGGCTTTCTGGATATATGAAAATTCCCCTTACAAGATGCACAGTATACTTTATCCATCGTTATACCGCCAAATGAAATAATAGCGAAGTACAGCACATCGTCAATTTAATCTTTCAAACTGTAGATTAATGTTCAATTTTCTCTCTCTCAAAAATTCTCTACTATATATCAGTTACATATTGCATAGGCTTATATGCTGTAACTCTAGTATCGAGTCACTACAGACTCAGGTTTAGGAATTATTTGTGTATTAAATGGCTTATTTCCTGTCAAGTCATAACTAAAGTCTTCCGTGTGTACCTTACACTGGGATTGTGTATCATTTGTCACTCACATAAACCGTATAAAGTGCATGTAAGGAGACCCTTTTAGCTTAGGTGCAGGGTTGTGACGCCACTCTGGAAAACCAGGTTCACAGGAAGTCATTACATGTATGTACAAATATCGTTGAAAGGTTTTTTTCAACCAGCCTAAATATTCCCAGAGCTTAAATGAAAGGGTCTAAAGTACAGAAATATCACTTATGTAACATGTTAATGAAAAGTGTTACAGAGACGAAAGGATTTTGATTTTGATGAATGTAATATGTTTTGTCATTTAGGGGAATAGTATCGCCTATATCTGGGAAACCCACATTTACTGTAATATAGTAAGATAATATGTAATTTTAGTATGTCATTGAGGAAAACATATACTGCTTTTTATTTTAACATATGTCAAACGCATTGTAATTATTTCTTGACAATAAATTAATTCTACATTTTATATTTATTTTAACCATATCAAATTAATTTGTTCATCATATATCTATTCTACCAGGTCGACTTTGTAATGGGTCTTTTAAAACTTTCTTCTACTTATATTTGAGCAATAATAATTTCGTGTTCTGATGTAAGCAAGTGAGGCTTGTATGACTCATTTTGGATGCATGAGTTTTGTCGAGTGAGGAAACAAGCGTGTATGTGCATGTTGTTTACACATACAACATACTCTGTATATTAATCAAAGGCACTCCTGCACTCCATTTCTACTCTTAATGACACTATTCCATTAAATATTAGAATCCATATCCATACATATGTTTTGTCATTACTACAATATGAAATATGATGCGTGTTCACTGTTTATAACTGTAAGAAGAGGGCGCTCATAGGCTTTGCCTTCTGCCCAATTCTTTTAAATCTAAGATCTGAACAATAAATATTCTGAAATGAAAAAAACAACAACGCCGTTTTCAACTATAGCAATGATAAACCGACAGGACAGGAAAATAGAAAATAGATATTGATATTTTGTAATTCATATCATCACATTGTATCGGTCTTCGTACCTTACCCAGCATAATTATATATTATGTGTATATCAGAGGTTTTGTGATGCTGTTTTCGTTGGTTGAATATTTTTGCATAACCGTGAATTTTATAAACATAAAATCTACTCGTAAAATAAAAGACTAAATCGTCAAAATGTTTTTGTTTATTACTTTTTTATTTACAAAGATTTGGTTTCCGTGTACATATCGGCATTTAACTGTTGTATAAGACAACGAATGCTGCATTGCCAGTTTACAATAAGACAAGTATGTTGTATATATTTATAACAATAGTTAATACCCAAAACATAGGAAACATAGGAAGTGACTAAGATATGACCGTATATACCTTACGATCCATAACAACCTGTTGTATTTGTACATCTTAACAAACGCTGTGGTCATACAATGTCTGACAACGATCCCTTTTTGTGTTAAGCTCTCTCAAGTATGTCACAATTGCCTCATTAAAAGGGGTTACGTATCTCTAATATTCACTGAAGCGCTGCAGCCATTATGAGTTCGTTACAGGCAGGAAGAAATATAAATAGTTTCTTCGTCCCAGGCCAATAAGTTGAAATAGAGTCAACAAATGTTAATTAAGTGAGATGAACTTGTATCTATTCAATAAATAAAGAATGGTATAGATATGTTGTATCGCCGACTGATCGGTCCAATCTTTAGCTCAGGGACAGGTACTCAGAGACTCGAGGTTTCCCAAAGAATGGCGGGGGAATCCCGTACGACGTCACCAGACGTTCAGGGAATTCGATTTGGGCAAAACTCGGGGCAACTTGGGGCAATCCCTCGATAGATAATGAAAACTTAGAATAAAAAAACAAATAAACCCTTCTGTTCTTAAATATAAGATAGGTAATAACGTGCCTGTTGCCGATAAACAATTTAATGCAAAATAAAGATGGAGATCCCAACATGGTTATAAATAACTTTGAGGGTTGACAAGCGTACAAGGGGAAACTCACACATACACAAGCTGACGTAACAGACTTGCGCATTGGGGAACTAGCGTAAAGTAGACCGACCAATGAATCAATGTTAAAACAGAAACCAAGATGTCAGCGCAAATGAAAGATGCGTTAACTATTTACTGACGGCATTCCGAGATAAATGGACATCGGTTACCAGAGGACGTTACGATAGATTAAGTTAACGATGATAGATCCGAAATATTGCTCATAAATAGAACAATAACATTATAAATAATGAGAAATAGATCAAATGTTCACATGAACTTTAAACAGCTGATCGTAGCGAGACCTAAGTAAACCATGAGGCATGACGATCAACCTATTATCGTAACATTATATAGTAGTGTCATGTCAGTGGAATATCACAACCACAACCTCGGCACGGTAGCACGACGCATTACCCAGTCAAATTTTTTTGAACAACAGACATACGTAAAATACCCAAGAAGCCGCCCCCTAAAGGCAAAAAATGAAAGAGCAAAAGAAACACGCTCGAGGCAATAGCCAGGGACAGCAGACCAATTGTTGGTGGTATGCTATGTGTGGACAAGAAGACAGTACAGCAGGAGATTTATGGTTCTGAAGGGGTCCCTATAAGTAGTCGATTACGATCATTCAGTATCAAAAGCAGCTGATTTGATGTTCCATCGGGTATTGGTCCCTCTGGGCAGTCTTTGTTTATTTCTAGCTCTAACATAGGATAACATTACTGTATAACGGGAAGTTTTCGCTCAGTCAGACTTTCTCCCAGTCAGACTTTCGCCCAGACAGACTTTCGCTCAGTCAGGCTTTTGCCCAGTCAGACTTTCGCTCAGTCAGACTTTCGCTCAGTCAGACTTTCGCCCAGTCAGACTTTCGTCCGGTCAGACTTTCGCTCAGTCAGACTTTCGCCCTTCGTTGATGAAATCAATTTTAGTCCAGTGTTAATTTCGCCCTTTTCAGTTGATTACTATGTTTAATGTTCTGTTTACTTATACTTGCTGTAATGATAAATTCATCCTGATTAGGAGGAGCAAAAAAAAAAGGCGAAAACTTAACTGCAGCGAAAATTTCCCGCCATACAGTCATTCGCTATTTGATACATTTGCTCATTTTTATTCGTTTATTCATTATTGCATCCACGTCTTACACATCGAATACCATGTCATACATGTAGAAACATAACGCTATCATATATACTATATCATATATTTATAATACATTTATTGGGTAAGTAATAACAGCTCTGGAGCTTGAACTAACAGACATTTTTCGTACAAGCATGTTTCGTCGAAATCAGTTTTTAATGCACAGTCGAATTTCATTATAACAAACAATAGCTTTTTTTCCCTTGACCTTTTTTTATTTTAGAGTAACAGACGCACTCTATCCAAATTTACATTAATTAACACGATAGAGTGTTAATATATATACTTGCTACATTTCAAAAAGTATATTACACTAAATTAATTGTCATTAAATATCTCGTTAGCTAAGGTGCTCTAAAGGTGTTAAATAGTATTCTGAATAACAACAACAACAACAATAACAACAACACCAACATCAATATAAGAAGGGGCCTACTGCATTAATGCTTAACACTTTTTGTAACCTCCGGTCGAATTCAATAAAGTAATATATATTTACTTATCGTCAATTATTAATATAATACATATTTATCTACACATACTTTACTATCATAGTAAAGTTAACATAAACTTATCGTCAATGTTTCTATACTGACCATAAACTATATTTACATGTGAGCTTAAAGGCCAAACATAACCTGAAATCTGAAGTAAGGAAACACATATTTAATAGTTTGTTAATGTAACCAATCAAAGTAAATATTTTACAGTACATTAATAATGACAATTTTGTCTATTTCCGACTGATTTTAGTACAAACGATTAAAAAAATAAAAAAAATAAGTAAAGCGTTTGGAAACAAATGTTAGATACAACAAAGTAGTAATTGGTAAAAGTTACTAAACGCAAAATTGAGAAACAGCTGAAGTTGATGCACAAACTAAAGCTATACCCTCATCGAGCATTGGATGACGTGCCAGAATTCCCGAGTACCTCGTAAGTGTTTGTAGACAAATCAACATGAGATAATTCGAGACCTTCATATGTGCTGTCTGAACTGGGTGGTAACGGCATATTTACATAACCTTCTTGTGTTGGAATGTTGGATGTTTTTCCCTTAGTATTCTCATGTCTATGTTGTTTCTCTGAAGTGAAATATCTTTGGAAAAAAAGGAAGGAAATACATTTCTAAAGAATTATTTCAACAGAGATTAAATCATTACTTCCTTTTTAATTCCAGTCGTATAGTTTAAACATTAAAAGTGGACATTTTCAAGGTTTGGAAATATTCGCGTGTTTGTACGTTTTTATTCGTTAGCGTTGAGTAAATTAGTGTACGAAAGATCCAGACGCATATAGATGAAATAAAAAACTAGAGAAATTACCAGATATAAAGACTCAAGATTTTAGAACCATTGCTAACAAGCAAATTTCCACAACCCGATCAAGTTAAAGTCACAACTATAAGTATCTGTACTTTAAGTTAAAGTAATTTCAAACAATCAATTTAGAGTTGCCAAAACAATTATGTTAACTTTTGTAAATACATAAATTATTTTTTATTGAATCGCAATAAACGAGATTATATCCAAACTTCATCCTTTTCTAAACCTACCTTCTAACGTAAAGGAGTGTGATGATCGTCACAAATAACAGTATCAGACACATTACAACGATCAAGGCTGCAAAAGCGGGCACTGAAATGGAGACTTAACCTATAGATATTTAATGAAACGCTAACTTTTGCTCAACAACTTTTAAAAGCTTACACTACGGTTCTATAATATTAAAATGTTTCATTATGTTTGAATGTAAAGTTTAATTGTTGTTCCGTCGTCAGAGAGCCCGTATATATGGTGTAAATGTTATTAATCAATTACATTGATGAAAGATTCATATTAAGTACGTTCAAAGTAAACGAGAAACAATATATGATTTTCATACAAATGTTTATGAATTTGAAAGTTATATATTTTACATACATACAATGTATGAATATCAACATACCTGGTAAACTTATGCTTCCTTCTTCTTCACCACTGTAGGGGAAAGCTGTAGAAAACGATCAGAATTCATTTCCGGAAAATGGCGAATGTGAAACATCAAACGCTGATATAAAACTTATACGCATACATGATTAGTTTCATTTTCAAAGTAAAAATTATATAAAAAATGCTTTGAATTAAGACATTTTAAAATTATCTATGAACTTGATATAACTCAAAGCAAAATGGCTTACCTCAAATAAAGAAAATACATAGTTGACATTTTGACATATTATCTATGCATGATTGTTTTTTCATTTGTTATTTCACATTGTTCAAGCAGCATTGTCGTGGTCAGAGACATACCTGATGTTTTGGTCGACGTAACTAACGTTTTAGTCGGTGAAGTTGTTTGAGTTCTGGATTTTGTATTTATATCAACGTCTGTAGCTGGTTCATAACTTGTGACGTCAGCTTGTGTAGTTGTCGTGGTAGTAATTGTTGTTGATGTTGGTGTTGTTGTTGTTGTTGTTGTCGGTGGATCTGGTGTCGTCGGAGTTGCTGGCTTACTACATGTTATAGTAACGTGGTATTAGGTAGTAGAAGAATACCTGAATAAAATATGAGAAATAGCATCTAAGGAAAGCTAATTGGGAGACAATGATGTATATATCATAAAAAGAATATATTATAACAAAGAAATAACTCGCGAACAAAAGATAATAATCACTTGTATTACACCACGGCTTTAGTTGTTTGAAACATACATTTGTTGTTTGTGACATGTATAGTTTGTTTATAATATTATTCAGTTACCACGATTGTAGTTTATTCGTGTAACGGTTATTTTATGGGGTTTTCTTGAAAGGAGTGGATAGTTTGCAGAGCATTTTATGTCTTAACTAGATAAATGAATTCCATGATCAAGGCTAACCATACATCCACCGATTTTCATTGTTCTGTCTTTCGTAATATTAAATTTAACCAAAATCGCATGATTGATTTCTGCTATTATTTACCTGTAATATTGAGACAGTACTTTGAATCTCCACCAGGCCCACCACTCCATGTTATAGTCATTGGTTGTGAATAAACTATTTGTTCCGGAAATGTGTTACATGAAAAGCTTTGAATTCCTTCTTGCCATGAAACTGTATCGTTTACCACTATTTCACTGCCACATCCGGTTGTATTTGGGTTCAGCCCAATACCGTAACGTTGTACGTATGTGATAAAGATAAGTGTAGAGTTAATAGTACACGAACAAGTTGTCTCCCCTGTTGCTCCGGCGCTGTGTGTGTCAAGTATCACTTTGTCTGACGTCACGCTGCCATCCTCACACATCCGGATATCTGTGATATTAGTATAAAAATAATAAAATTATTATAAATCATAAAAGAGTGCATTACTATTTCTACAGTTACCTGTATCTCATATGCTATATAAGATATCTTATATAATTCGATGAAATACAGGATCGACATTGCTCCTTGAATAAATGTTAAGTTAGCTTGCCATAAGAAATGCCTTAGCCAGAAAGATGAAAAATGACACAATGGCTGGTTTCTGTTTGTAAGTGATCAGTGACATATTACACCTTGAAATATAAAACAAAAATACAGATAATTATCACGTGTTTACAAACATTTGAAATCGCAGAACTTCGGTAAATATTGTGGAAAGATGTGATCATGTAATTCAGGACGGGGACACTAGTTTGAACATGAAGTTATATTAGAATTCAGTGAAATCGGGAGTAGGTCTTTGCAGGAAGTGACACACTTTGTATATATCTTATGTTAGCAAAGATTTGTATTCATATTCATAATACGAATTAGTGGAGTCATACCGCAAAATCAAATGTAGCCCTGGCCCTACTGTTTGAAAAGGACTGGTGAAATTCATTCTAGTTTTGTTGTACATATAGTTACCTCGTGTTATTTTTTTTTTATTTTTTTTTTCAATTATTACTGTTGTTGGACTGGAACAAATGGCTTTCAATGATAAAGTTGTCCAGTTTGACAAAGCCATCGTAATGTGCGAACCCGGCCTTGCCTCGTTGCCTTTATATTCTCTGAACACAGTTGTTTTTTCATCTTAATATTTTTTGTCTTAAAAGTTGCGCTATGTATTGGTTTTCTTTCAAAAAATATTTGTTCAAGATAGTTTTATGCAGGTTAATATATTTCCAATTCCAAAGCTGTTTTCGACAGTGGCATGCTATTTTACTCTCGTAGTATACTACAATTAAGACATACATTTTGTAAACTTAATGGATTCCATTCCTTTTTATGATCCACACTAATTTGATTAAAGTGGTTTGATTTTTATTAAGCAACTAGGTACATATGGTCGGCGAGAACACAACTCAGGGACGAGTATGTACTCACACTATAACGACTGATCAACTTGTACTGATTGGCTTCATATCGAGGCAGGGTGAACTAAACAGGACCGGCGGTAAATTTTATTTTATTTTTTTAAATTATTGATGGTGACTGTACTTATCTGGAGTGTAGATTTAATCCTATGCCAGAAAATCAAGATGCTTAAAAGGGCTTAAATAACTTACAAGGTATATTTTTCGATTCTGCAGCATCGGAACACTCGCTCCCAGTGGTATCTGTCAAGACAGTTCACAAAAATGTATCACATCATTCTTCTATATATATATTACACAAATATATTGCTAAACAATGGCTTCATAAGGGAAATTGATTTGAATATAAACAGATGATTTAAATGCTGTAATCTGCATTGATGAAACAGGTAAGATTTGAAGATAAGAAATAAAGGAAACATCTATAAAAAAAATGTGAATGGATGTAGAAGTCTGAACAAGATAGACATTTTACTGCACCCTATAGCTATATTTTACACATATACCAATAAATTGCTTTTCCAATTGTACCCTTTTCTTTCTACAATAGAACGATTTTTTTTTACCTTTTTTATTTCTAAAAATACACATTTCACTGCGCTATTATCAACGGCCTAATGAATATGTGACGAAATTAAGAAACAACCATTGCTGCGCTGCATACCTACCTACGGAAAGACAGCTTACACACCCTATTATTTTGAAAACATCACCGTAATCCTTTCTGATGACGCGGTGCATTGGTCTCTATAACAATTTATTTTTACAGTAGGAAAGTGTGGAAGAAAAGTTATCAATAATTCACCCCTCGGATAAGAGTTTTGAAGATTAGCCTTCGAACTAACCTCAGGCTTATATACCGAAATCTAGTCATTGGACTGAGGTTTGTCTGTTAACAGCACAAAGGAGCAACACAATCTACTCATCTTTTCTTTTTATCAATCTATGTTCTCTTCGGTTGCTTTTCGTTCTACTGAATGAACGTTCTTACTAGATGTGGCTTCAAACACTTAGAATTTGGCTTGGATGTTGAACTTATCTTTAATTTAATTACACCCCTGCAGCTCAGGGACCGAGAAAAGAATACACCTGCTGTTACCCACGGCATGTATCGTAAGAGGCGACTAACGTAGGAACACCCTTCATAATTGGGGATTTGCTTTTGTGCCCTCTATTTGGGGTCACAAAAGCGACCAAACCAAATCTGCAATTTGCAATATTTCAAATCTTTATATCTCTCTCTACTTTCAAATTCCTTTTAATTCCCAACCCCTAGCTTGGCAATACCTCAGTTTTGGCTTTAATGTTTAACGTTCGCCCAGGCGACAATAGTATTTTAATGCTTCTGTTGTTTTGTGTTCTCCTCCATTGCTTTCGTATCGACTGTTAAATCAACAATTGTAGATACTGTAGTAGCGTGTAAGGTCACTTCATAGTTGATTAAGGCATTATTGCAGTAAATGTTTCGTCTTTGCAGTGGCTAGTGTAATATAACTTACACCTAAGTCCGTCGCTGTACGGTATAACGAGTACTTACATTGTATATATGTATACGTAAACCTCATCGCTGGTATATGATTCTCCTAGGCATTCATGGCATACATATCTGCATACACATAAGTCTACTTCCTGATTTACACAACTAATACAAGAATCTCACAGGATCAAAATTAAGCTGTAGAGTATGAGTGTTAATTGAACTTACTGACCTGAAATCTGTAGAAGAAATACAATGAAAATTAGCAGCATCTTTTGGCTGGTCATTTCTGTCGTACATACAGTGGTATTCAACTTGTGATCGTATAAATAAACATCAATGCTTGTGTGTTACCGGAAGAAAGAGACATAGTTTATTACATACTCGGTCAGTTGGTCATGCCTGACAGCGTACAGTAATGATAATGGTGTACGCAGTAGAGTTGACATCTAAAAGCATACCGTTATATCAGTTTTAAAACTATGTGCATTTGATTACACTGTATAGCTATTACACAAAATATATCTACATTTGTATAAGATAAAGGATAATACAATATCCAACAAAAGGCCAAAGCTGAGAATTTATTACCTAGTTCTAAATATACTTTTATATTTAATGTTAAATAATTTAGCATTTCAAGGATATATCTATTGTTCTCTAAAATTTATAAACAGTGTTACAACGAAAGTCGAATGTGTAGGAAGTGCTTTGAATGTAACTGAATTTATTACGGTGCTTGTGATGAAATACATGCCGTTTTTATTTTTATTTTCTCAGTTATTTTCATAATTATGGTCTCTTAAGGTTTTTGAATATGCCCTTAAAAGTTTAGGTTTTTTTCTACTTGATATTGGAGCTCATATGTTATACGGAAACGCCTGGTATTTGATGGTTCGTTCCTTTTAATGGACATGTATACGTAGTTAGGATTACACGCCGACGATTCAGTACAGGAGTACAAGGTGGTCGGTTGGCGCAGTGAAAAACACACTCACCTTTCACCAAGGCGGCCGGTAGCAATTGGTTGTCTGCTCGACCAAGTGAGTTGTTTGCGGGAACTTCAGGTTCCTCCCATATTTTAACCTCTGTGCACTTCCATCCGGGCCAACAAAAGGGATTAATATAAGTTGGTAAACTTATTTCACGATTGTTGTAAAAAAATGTCATTATATGAAGAACAAGAGTTTTGTACAACCATTCCTTTTAATAATTAAGTAGATATGGTAACACTAGGCTGATTCAGTTCAAAGTTTCGGAACTGCGGTCCTTTCAGAACACATGTAGTCATATCAACACTCCGCCCAATTTCGTACAAGTTTTTTTAGCAAGAATTACGTGAATTGAACATAAAGAATGATAGCACGCGACTCATTTAGGACAAAGATTGTGTACAAGCGCTTCTTTCATAAAACACGCAGGCATGTTAACACTCAGTACAAGATGTCTGTACCAGCGTTATTATATTACTCACGAAAAAGGATTCACAAAATGTACATAAGGACATGATAATACATTTACTGGTGTTATGACAGCATACAATGGTTTACAAAGTTTACGTTAAAAAAGGTGTATGGCTGTGAACCGTTAAACAAAACATTGATATTAGGGACTTAATATTATAATATCAATACATGAAAAGAAATTTATAGTTAAATATACGGAAGTTCGTAATTTTTATTTACCTTTCTTTTCATTCTATCCCTCTTATGGTTCCATGTCGTCACGCTGTGTCGACACAGTACTATTCCTATAATGATTTTATTTATGATTTGTTAAGGAATCTTAGCTTTCGTTAATATTGAAGAATATATTTATGTCACAGATTGTAATGCAGTCTGGTATATGGCGTTATATTATGTATGACGTCATATGTGTTATTTCGTCAGGTTATCTATAGCGACATCATTTCATATACGTATATTTTCATTAGGCAGCCTCCATGTAAATCTCCATATAAATCTACAAACTCAAAATGGTTATCAAAGCGTCAGGGAAGAGAGAGAAAGATATTGTGATTAATTTATAGATAAAGAATCTAATCCTCTTCAGAACACAAGTCTCAATTCGGAAGTGAATATAAGTTATTGTAATCCTTTGATCATCGCTCGACTGAAGCCTGATTGTCTGTTCCTGTTATGACCAGTTTACAATTGAGAACCAGAACCTGTGATTTAGTAGTCTTAGCTAAATCTCTGTAGAACGAAAGGTGATTCAGTGAGATCATTACCTGCACCTGTGTTCTTATGTGTCACTGTTGAGATTTCACTGACCCAAACATTCACTGAGCGAGCTTGTTGCCCTCTATTTCTGTCAGCAAGACGATAAAAACCGGCACACAGCGGCACAACACAGTCATACTATTTTGGACAACAGGCATATGAAAAAAACTCGAGAAGATGCCCCCTAAAGCCAAAAATGAAAGAGCAAGAGAAACACGCTCGAGGCAATAGACCAGGGATTGCAGACCAATTTGTTGGTGGTAGGCTGTATGTGAACAAGAAGACAGTGCAGAAGAAGATTTATGATTCTGAAGGGGTTCGATATCAGTAGCCGATTACGATCATTCAGTAACATTAGCAATTCGTTTTAAGTACAACTAGGTTTTAGTCCCTAGGGCAGCCTTCGTTCAATTCTTCTTCTAACACAGGAGATTTCTGTATCCCGGGACGTTCCCGCCCAGTCAGATTTTTCTATGTTTATTGGTCTGTTTAATCATATTTTCTGTTATGATAAATTCATCCTGATAAGGGGGCGCAAAAAGGCGAAAAATCAAACTGCAGCGAAAATTTCCCGCCATACAGTAATTTTCCATTCAATACATTTACTAATTCTTATTCGTTTATTCATTATTGCATCAACGTCTTACACATGTCAACATGTTCATACATTTCACTATCATAAAGGGATTGTTACATCCATTTTGCATGAAGCCCGCTACCCGGCGTTTAATCCCTCAATCCAACGATTTGCGTTCATACCGGCATGAAAATTTAACAAAAACGCCGTTCAATCCATAAATTAACATTTTAACAATAGAACAAATGTTTAATTTTAGTTATTTGTTCTTGAATTATTTATTTCTTTATTGAGATTTGTATTTGAGTTGTACTTTACACGACATGACGCAAATAAGTAACCGAAGTCATTTGAGTGTTTGACGCTGATCTAAAATATTTGTTTGTTTTTGGCCTCAAAAACCTTCTCGAGCATTGAAATTATTTTATAAAACATACAATGAAATAATTGCTACTAGAATACATATAGTTGATATTTTTTCCACAAAAGGGTCAATGTCACCACCAACAAAGGACACTTTGAAAAATGGCAAATCTGAATGAAATATATTGATTTCATTCGACATATACATATATTCGCTTTATTTACTAAGAATAGCACATTTCACGATGTGTATCCGAAGTGAAGCGACAAGACTCTCATTGAACCAGATTAATCCATGACGTCATAAGTAACCACGTGTTACGTCACGAGAGTTTTTGCTTTCATTCTCAAATGAAATGTATTTCTGCTGGTAATGCTCATATAGTGGATTACAGCGAAAATGTAAATATATATACTATATCATTAATTTTAATGCGCTAATCAAAATAATTAATTTCCCGCCATACAGTAATTTGCCATTCAAATACTAAAATTTTTAGTATTTTTAGGGCAAAGGAATGCCAGATAAATTCCATCAAATTGATTCTCGCATGCAGGAACTAATTCATAAAACATCGAAATCTACAGAGGTTGAGAATTGGTTAAGCGCGCAGTGGGCAAAGGAATGCCAGAAAGAGGAGGAGAAATCTGGAGTCATCTGGAAAACCAAAAGTGAATGGCTTCATAAGTATCCCAATGCCTACGGTGACAGCATGTTCCTGGAGGAAGAACATACCACCCGGAAAAAAGATAAAAGTAATGAAGGGAAGCGAACGCCGAGGAAACATGTGACAACTGAAATACTGAAAGATACCCCAAGAAGGAAATCATCACCGCAACGGGAACAGCTTTTGTATTCTGAGGTGATCAAGACACCAGCTGTAGTACAGAAACCAAATACGCCTAAAATGGGAACTAGAACCAAATACGCGCGTAAAGCTAAACACTCCGGAAAGAACAGTTCGGGTGTAAAAGAATCCAGCCCAGTTAACTTGCAAGGAACTACCTACATTGGGAAATCGGTAAACAAGCATTTTTTAGGACAATCAAAATTAGGAAACAAAGGCGGAGGGACAAAAACAAATGTACACAGTCAGGAAGAGAAAACGACGGCAGTTTAGATAAAGGTGTAAATAACAATACTAATCAAAGTAAGTTACCAAAAGTAATAAATCTTTCTAGTAGAAAATTTACTGATGATGAAGTACACCTATTATCTAAAGGTCTGAAATTTTGTCCAACACCAAATACTCATGATGGCAAAGAACTTAAGGCAGATCTATTAGCATTCTGTAGACGACTCCGTCTTAGTGAAAGATTCCATAAAGAAAATGATGATGAGGATGATGATGATGATGACAATAATAAGATTAGCAATTTTAACGACGGGTCACTAGTTTGGAACAAATCTCGTTGGAATCCCCCAAAAAGCAAAGATAAAATGTTGGAAGATACTATAGAAAGTTTGAAAAATTGCCCTGTTGATTCTGGTTGTCAAAAGAAAGTTAAAAGTAATTTATCATTTAAACAAAGAACTGCCTTGAATTCTTTACAAAAAGATAAAACCATAGTTATTAAGGAAGCAGACAAGGGAGGAGCTGTTATTATAATGAACAGTAGTTACTATTGTAAGAAAATGGTGGACATGCTAGAGAAAGAAGAATTTTATACATCTATTGAATCAAGTGCTGATGATGTTACCTATAAGCTTATCAATGATTTAGTCATGAAGTACAAAAAAGGTATTTTTGATAAAGAGGTGAAATATTTAACATCTGATGGTTATAAAACAAGCTACTTTTATGGTTTGCCTAAAATACACAAAAGTACTATCATAGCTGAAGCTATTAAACAACAGAAAAGCGAGTATGTGATGATTGAAAATCCAGATGATTTGACATTTCGACCAATAGTAGGCGGACCTAACAGTGTAACCCAACGGCTTAGTCATTTTGTTGACTTAATTTTGAAGCCACTTTGTTCTTCAGTGAGGAGTTTTATAAAAGACGATTTTGATTTTCTTAAACATTTGCCAAAATCTGTTCCTCCCAATTCTAAACTTGTATCTTTTGACGTCGTCAGCTTATATACAAATATTCCACATGATTTAGGAATTGAAGCTATTACGTATTGGCTTAAGAAACATCCAGATAAGATTGATAATCGTTTTGCTCATGAATTTATTATCAAATCCTTAGAAGTTATTTTGAAAAGAAATGTCTTTTATTTTGATGGCAATCACTACCAACAAATAAAGGGAACGGCCATGGGTACAAAAATGGCACCTACCTATGCAACACTTGTGTTAGGTTATTTGGAAGAGAAACTCTACACCAATATAGAATGTAAATATGGTAAAGTGTTTTCAGAATATGTACAAAACAATTTTTTTAGATTTTTAGATGATTGTTTTATTGCATGGCCTTCTGATATGTGTATTGACAAATTAAGTGAGGAAATGAATTCTCTACATCCGGCTATACGCTACACAATGGAAATGGATGAACATGTTTTACCCTTTTTGGATGTTTTAGTTAAATTAGAAAATGATAATATTGCAACTGATTTGTATTCAAAGCCTACTGATGCTCATAATTACTTAGATTTTTATTCAAATCATACTAAACATATTAAAATTAATATACCTTTTAATCTCGCATCTAGAATTGTAACAATTGTAAGTGACCCCAATATGCTGGATGTGCGACTTAAAGAACTCATGTTTTTCCTGAAGTCGCAGCATTATCCGGACGAGATTATTCGTAGTGGTGTAAATAGAGCTATAGAGAAGGGACCTTTTACATCCCGTGTAGAAGCCAACGATGACCAAGGAATTATTCCTTTTGTATCTACATACAATCCACATAATTTTGCTATGTACCCTATTGTAAAAACCAAAATCGATGACTTGCAGAGAACTAGCGTGCGTATGAAAAATGTTTTAGCTAAACATAGAATTATCAATAGTAAAAGACAACCCAAAAATCTCAAAAGGCTATTGAGTTTTTCCAAGTTTGAAACGAATCAAGCTGAACTTATTGTGTCTAAATGTAATTCGCCCAGATGTGGAACATGTAAAATAATTATTGAAGGTTCTACTTTTGTTTTCAAAAATGGATTTAAATTCACTGTACGTTCTAGTATGAATTGTAAGTCGAAGAATGTTATATATGCTATAGTGTGTGTTAAATGTTTGGAATTTTATATTGGCCAAACTGGGCGTGAACTACGTCAAAGAATGACTCTTCACAAGCAACAAACAATCCATGATGACCTTAGATTTTTACAAGTGAACAAACATATTCATAACTGTGCTAACAATAACTTCAAAGTGTTCCCTATTTACCAAATGCATTCATCTGATGTGATAAAGAGGGAAGTTAAGGAGTCGGAGTTAATGAAACTGTTGAAACCCAGTCTGAATAGTTCACATTAAATTCAACGTGTCATGCTTTAAGCAATTGCTGTGCTTTAAATATTATTGTTCATATTTTATTGTTGCCGTAAATGAAACAATTTGTATCTCCCGTATTTTTTATTGTTGGTAAGATCATAAAGTTATGCATTTGTCTAAGTAATGTAACGTCACAATTTAGCTTGTATTGTTGTTGACGTCATGGATTTATGTGTATGCCTTCTGTGACGTCATAATGACTTTGCATTATTGATGACGTCATACTTTCTTGTGTAAACAACTATGACCTCACAATACCTGTTTTCAAAATAAACAGTCTGCTGATGAACGGGGAATCAACCCGAGAAAGGCCTAGAGACGCTATCTCTGTCTTTTGTTCTATTTTTTATATTTAATTCCAACACAAGGACTTCTCAATGTTTTCTTTAAACTATATCATATATTTTAATACATATATTGTGTAAGTAAAAACAGCACTGGAGCTTGAACTAGCAAACATCTTTCTTACAAGCATGTTTTGTCTGAAGCAGTTTTGAATGCGCAACCATAGATGTTATTGAAAAATAATATTTGACTAAAAAGACATGTTTATTTCGAATTTCGTTCGAACAGACAATAGCTTTACTTCCTTTGATTTATTAGCTTACCATCATCAGATGGTGGCCTATTCAAATCACCCTGCGTCCGTGGTCCGTCCGTCTGTCCTAAAACCATGCTTGTTAGCGCCATTTATCAAAATCTCAAAAAAAACCTGATCACTGATCACAAAACCAAGATGGCCGACAATCAGTCATTTTGAATTTGAGAGTTCAAGTTTGTTAGCGCTTTTTTTCAGAAAGTACTGTAGGGATCTTTCTCAAATTTCATATGAAGGGCACCCATGGTCCCTAGTGATGTTAATTGTTTTTGGGACTGGTCACAAAACAAGGATGGCCGACATCCAGCCATCTTGAATTTAAGAGTTCAAATTCGTAGCGCTGTGCCTCAGAAAGTACTGGAAAGATCTCCTTTAAACTTCACATGAAGGTTTCCAATGGTTCTAAGTTATTAATATCGAACGTGGGGAGTGAAGGGAAAACTTCGGTGGCTGACAGGCAGCCATCTTGAATTTGAAAGAAACATAAGTTTGTAAGCCCCTGCAGGTAGGGCGTAAGAATTGTACCTGCTGCCCCCAATTGCATGATCGTAAGAGGCGACTTAATTTGGGACCTTATCTCTTCTCTCCTTTCTAAATAACTTTCTTCTTCCTAATGTCTCCCTTGACAATGCCTCACTTTTGGCCATTTGTTGAGCGTTCGCCCCTGTGAGGAAGGCTTTGGGTTCTGTCCCCTGGCCGAGACATACCAAAGTCTTTAAAAATGGTAGTTTCTACTCCTGCTTAACGCTCAGCAAATTAGGAGTGGGACGACTGGTTCGCCCGTTGTCAGTATAATGTGACCGGGTGGGGCGTCCTGCTGGGTGTCTTCGGCAGTATGTTTCAGTGAGGTAGCACTATAAAGTCGGCATCAGTTCCGCGCTATCACAAGGAGACAAACACGAACATATCGCAGCCTCCCAAAATACACACACATACACTACACGCATGCATCTTGCACACAGGGGAGGCCGTCCTTAAATGACCTTAGCTGTTAATAGGACGTTAAACAAAATCAAACAAACAAACAAACAAACAAGTTTGTAAGCGGTTTTTTTCAGAATGTACAGGCGGCGTCTTTCCAAAATTTATCAGGAAAGTTCCTCGTGGTCCCTAGTTTTGCATATCACATTTTGGAAACCAAGATGGCCGACAGCCAGCCATCTTGAAATTGAAAATGAGCATTTGTTAGCGTTATTTCTCAGAATGTACGAGACGTCTTTTTCAAATTTCACATAAAGGTTTACAATGGTTCCTAGTTCCGCATTTCAAATTTTTGGGATGATTTGAAAATCAAGACGGCCGGTAGATTGTCATATTAAATATTTCTTAAAAATTGTAAAAGGGATCTTTCTAAAATTTCGCATAAAGGTTCACCTTTGTTCTTAGTTATGCACATCAAATTTTGAGACTGATCTGCGGCCCGGCAGTCAGCTTGTTACAGTTTAAGATTGGTATCGCTATTTCTCAGAATGTAAAGGCGGAAGCCTTCTCAAATATGGTATTTAGGTTTCCCTTGGTGCTTTGTCGTTCATGTTAACTTTTGAGGTTGATCAAAAGAATCATTAAGATGACGGACAGTCAAACTGATCAAACAGATAAGAGAAAAGGAGAGAAGAGTTCAAACTGACAAAGAACTAATGAAGATTGGTCGATAGTGGGCGCCAAGATCCCTCAGGGATCTCTAGTTTTTATTTGAAAGGAACAGACGCACTTGTAAAAGCACAGAGTCAATGTACACTCTGATGCTATCTTAAAACGAGATCCAAATGTAAAACAATTAACACGAGTGTTAAGAAACATGCTTGCTACATTTATAAAAAGTGCATTTCACTCAACCATTTGTCATTAAAGATCTCATTAGCTTAGGTGCTCTATATGTTTAAAATGCATAGTTGTTATTTTAAGTATCACTCAAACATTGCAACAACAACAATAACAACAACAGACGGGGCCTTATGTTTTCATGCTTTACAATTTTTGTAACCTACGGCCCCATTCATTAAGGAAACATTTACTTTGTAATCATAAATGATAGATATAATCATCTACATATACTTTACTATCATAATAAAGTTAACATAAAGCTATCATCAATGTTTCTATACTGACTAGTCTTGATCATAAACTATATTGACATGTTAACTAAAAAACTAAAAAAACACCCTGAAATATGAAGTAAGGAAACACCTATTTAATAGTTTGTTTATGTAGAAAACCCATCAAAGTAAACAGTTCATAGTACATTTATAATGACAATTTTGTCTATTTCCAACTGATTTTAGTACAAAAGCTTAAAAGAATAAAACAAAATAGGTAAAGCGTTTGGAAACAGGTTAGATTCAACAAAGTAGTAATTGGTAAAAGTTACTGAACACAAAATGGAGAAACAGCTGTAGTTGATGTACCAACTAAAGCTACACTGTCATCGTGCATTGGATCACGTGCCAGAATTCCCGAGTACCTCGTAAGTGTTTGGAGACAAATCAACATGAGATAATTCGAGTCCTTCATATGTGCTGTCTGAACTGGGTGGTAACGGCATATTTTCGTAACTTTCATCTCTTGGAGTGCTGTGTGTTGTTCCGATGGCATTGTCATTTTGAAGTTGATTCTTTAAAGACAAATATCTTTGGGAGGAAAGAAATTAAATGTATCAAAATTCAGTTTAACCAATCTTAAACCATAACTCGCATTTCAATTACAGTTGTACCGTGTACAGTTTAAACTATGATTGTTTGTGGTGTGTTTAAATTGGGTAAATTGACGGTATAATATCAACTAGAAGATAAATATTTATAAGAAATATTGATTGTAGAGACATAGATTGTATATATTTCAAAACCATTGGCAACGCGAAAATATGTATACTGCGCTCAAGTTTAAGAGTTACAACACAGACATTTGCATACGTGAGAATTCTCACATTTACAATACAGTAGTCCCCCGTTATATCAGCATATTTTGTGCCGTGCCAAGTTTGGCGGATTAATGAAGGTGGCGATACAACAATGTTTCAGTAGGACAGCCGAATGTATAACACATGTGCAGTAAATTATGCATATGATATACATATGAAAGAAACAAAGCATAAACAAACACATATATTTATTTTGAAATGAATGCGGACAGATAATTTATATCATTTGCAGTTTTTAAAAGTACTGTTAGTTAACAAATAATAATTATAATTAACATTTGTATAATTCACCGATTTGTAACGTGATCTGGGATATTAAGTGCAACACGTATGGTTGTTACAGGTATTGACCAGGGTCGGGTCCTACCTGAAAAAACGTTTAAACATGTTCCCGGGACATCTGTTTTTCAATTTGTGAATATCATTGTTTTATATGTATATCTTGCAATACAATATTTACTGTCAGTGCTTCTTCATCGTTATACCTACCTTCTATCATAGAGGATTGTGACGACCGTCGCATATAACATTATCAGACACATGAAAACGATGATTGTTGCAAAAGCGGGAACTGAAATGAAGACCTAAAATATACATATCCACGAAATATGTAAATAATTAATGGAAAGCCATAGGGGATTATTTTAAATATTCCCATTTGTTTAATTACGGTACCACAAAGTTAGAATGTAAAGTTGTTATTGCTGTTGCTTTTTCAGAGAGCGCCTGGATTCGCTGTTAGTTATAATATAAATCAATTACATTAAATAGGTATCTATGTTAATTACGCTCAAAGAAAAATAGTAACTTGATTTACGTACAAAATTGCAATTCTTGTTTTTTGAATATAAAAGATTATAAAACTCTTTCATGCCCAGGGGAATTCCATACGACGGGTTTCTCAAATTTGATTAAACCCGAGGCTTTGTCGAGGGTTTTGCCAAATTTGAAAATCCCGAGGTTGAAATTTTCCTATCCTACACTTTTGGGCATTAGCTCAGAAACCATGACAATTCGTTTGAACTGATTACCATTTTGAAATATAAAATTTTCCCTGAGTTATTTTAACGAAAACAAATCTGTTATTAAGCATAACCCATATTCGCAATCAGAATTCGCGCAATAAAATGTAATCTTTCTAACGTATACGGTAAATATATCGGTAAGGGTTTAAATGAAATCACATAGTCTTTCCACTTTGCGGCGTCATAATTTTCCCCACTCGTCATTGTTGAGCCATTGTGCCGTCACGTCACGTGAAATGGGATGTAAGATAGAAATTCATTACACCCCTCTCATACCCTGGATAGCTCTATCTCAAACACAGGGACATGACAAATATATTTCTCAAAAAAAACAAACAAAAAAAACCACCCGATAAATGTACGGTTCCGTCTTCCTCACAATTACAACGAACCGCTGCAAAATACAATCAAAATTGGCTTCTAACAAAACGTGAAATTTGAAACACCAGATGCTGATATAAATGGTTAGGTTATGTTAGTATATCTGTGTTATTTTTCATCATATGAAAACCATGTGGACTATATCAAAAAGGTTTGCTTTAAATGAAGAAATTGCAGAATTCTAGCTGGAATTGACATATCAATTCAAAGCGTTATGGAGTCCTCAATTCAAATTTCACATTGTTCAAGAATTTTCTTAGTAAGTGACGTACCTGATGTTTTGGTTGCTGAAGTTGTTTGAGTTACGGATTTTGTGTCCGTTTCAACGCCTGTAGCTGGTTCATGACTTGTGACGTCACCTTGTGTAGTTGTCGTGGTAGTTAGGGTTGTTGATGTTGTTGGTTGTAGTGTCGTCGGGGTTGCTGGCTTATTACATGTTATAGTAAACGTGGTATTAGGTAATGTAAGTAAACCTGAAAGATTATTAGAAATAACACAAGATTCAGTTAATTGTGCTTTAAAATATGAAAAAATAATTAGGTGACAATGATGAAAACATTATAAAAATTAGTTTACATGTAACGTAACAGCATTGTCAAATAAAGAATAAAAAATAATGATTACTTGTGCTAACACCAAGGCTTTGGTTGTTTGAAATGAATTTGTTGTTTGTTACATGTAGTTTGTTTATAATAATATTAAGTAAACACGTTTGTCGTAACTTCATGCAACGGTTATTTTGTGGGGGTTTCTGAAAAGAGTGGATCGTTTGTAGAACCTTCTTATGTTTAAACTAGATAAATGAATTCCATGATTAAGGCCAACCATACATCCACCGATGGTCATTGTTCTGTCTTTCGTTAGATAAACCAATAGCGAGTGCCCGATTTGTTGCGTTTCATTTACCTGTAATATTGAGACAGTACTTTGAATCTCCACTTGGTCCACCACTCCATGTTATAGTCATTGGTCGTGAATAAATTATTTGTACCGCAATTGTGTTACATGTAAAGCTTCGAATTTTTTCTCCGGATGTTACTGTATCATTAACCACTACTTCACTGCCACATCCGGTTGTACTTGGGTTCAACTCATTACCGTAATGTTGTATGTATATGACAAAGATAAGTGTAGCGTTAACAGTACACGAACAGGTTGTCTCCCCTGTTGCCCCGGCGCTGTGTGTGTCCAGTATCACTTTGTCTGACGTCACGCTGCCATCCTCACACATCCGGATATCTGTAATATTAGTATATACATAATATAATTATTATAAATCACATAAGAGTGTATTACTATTTCTACAATTACTGCTGTAAAGCATAAACAGTGAAACTGCTTTCTAACATCATTGGTTACTGATAGGAATGCCTAAGCCAGAAAGATGAAAAGTTACAAAATGGCTGGTTCTTGTATGTAAGTGATCAGTGACATATTACGCACAAAATTATATATAAAAAACAATACTTGAAGTATTCAAGTCATTTTTCATCTAATAAATGGTTTACAAACATTTCAAATCGTAGAACTTCGGTAAATATTGTGGAAAGATGTAAAGATAACACAGGAACACTAGTTTGAACATGAAATTACATTATAATTCAGTGAAATCGGGAGTCAGTCAATGCAGGAAGTGACACAATTTGTGAATAACTGATGTTAGCAAAGATCTGTTATCATATTCATAATACGAATTAGTGGAGTCATAACGCAAAATCAAATGAAGATCTGGCCCTACTGTTTGAAAAGGACTAGGGAATTTCATTCTAATATTTCGTTTTGGTCTGGTCCAAAAGGCTACCAACGATAAAGGAGTCCTATTTGACAGAGACTCCGCAATGTGCGAATCCAGTCTTGCCTCGTTGCATTTATATTCTTTGAACCCAGTTTGTTTTTTCATCTAAATTTGTTTATGATAAAGGTTCAGCAATGTATAAGTTTCCTCTTTAAAACAATGTGTATGCAGGTAAACAGAACTCCAATTCAAATGCCGTTTTCGGCAGTGGCATGATATTTTATTCTATTCTCGTGCTGTACGATTGAGACTTAGAACAGGCACACAATATGTTATGAACTTTATGGATTTCGTTTTTTAATTAAAATGGTTTGATGATATGATTGATATGGGTTTCTTTTATTCTAGAAGCTCTTTTACCAATATTAATTGAATTACTTCCCTCCCTCCGAGCATGGTTATGTTCGTAAATAGTTTTTCATTCATTTCATATTAGAGAAAGTCAAAGCTGTCATATATTTTTTTACTCTATTGTGAAATATAGCAATCCAAGACAACTGTGTGCACTTGACATCTATAAGTGTCCCTAATAGTTGATGATTTACGTCCCATTGAGGGTTGCCAGGTACATCGTAACAGTTTCCAGTTACTGTTCCAATATTTTAGATAGTTATATTCTGGGATCAAACGTTGTTTGCCCTGCGTCTGAAAAAAATGCTTCATTAGCAAATGGCGTCAGGTCCATAACGCGCCTAATTCTAACCACTTTGTAATAATCATCTGCCTTCTTAAGCATGAAATGACAATCCAAATGATTTACCGAGCACATCAAGCCGAAACGACCAAACAGAGCGTTAAATGTTCGAAAAGGTGACATAACATACTGGTATGGGAACGAAACTACTCTCAAATTGATCATAAGCAAATATAAGTATAAAGTTACCATACAAGTTACATTATCTGTAAATATGAGTAATGAACTAATGTCTGAGTCAATAGTTACTGTAAATATGAGTACTGAACTAATGTCTGAGTCAATAGTTACTGTAAATATGAGTACTGAACTAATGTCCGAGTCAATAGTTATTGTACATATGAGTACTGAACTAATGTCTGAGTCAATAGTTACTGTAAATTTGAGTACTGAAGTAATGTCTGAGTCAATAGCTACTGTAAATATGAGTACTGAACTAATGTCTGAGTCAATAGTTACTGTAAACATCAGAACTAAAATGCTATCAGATATCTCTAGTAGGATGATATATTGAAGGGCAGGAAAAAACCATCAGAATATGCCCTTATTATAATAGAATACGTTTAAAAAAAAAATCAACTCAACATTTATACAAGTACTGCACCTGGTAGCAACGATAAATAACTTACAAGGTATATTATACGATTCTGCAACATCTGAACATTCACTTCCAGTGGTATCTGCAAAAACAATTTACACAAATGTATCGCATTATTCTTCTATTTATATTACAAATCCATTACTGAACAATGTCTTCATAAGTAGAATATATTTGAATATAAACAGATGATTTAAATGCTGTACTCTGCATTTATGAATAAATATAATCCGAAAAACATTCTGTCATGATGGATTTGTTTATTCAAATATTGCACGATACATAAACATCAATGTGAGGTTTTAATAAATACGAAATAAACCGTATTAAACTCATACTAGGAATATAACATAAGGATTTTTTTTAAAAGCAGTAAATGGATGTAGAAGTCTAAACATGATTATTATTTAATTACACCCTATAGCTATTTTGTAAACATATACCAATATATTTTCTTTTCTATCGGTAAATGTTTTACCTGTCATCTTTCTTTGAAAATCCTAAATGAACCGTGTTATTATCAATGGTCCTTTTAATGTGTGACGAAATTATGAACCAACCTGTGCATACCTACCTACGAAAAGACAGCTTACATATCTATTATTCTGAAACTTCCAGACTTTTCTGTGGAAAAGTGTGGAAGAAAAATAATCAATAATTTCAACCTACGGGATAAGAATTTTGAAGCTTAACCCTCGAACTAACCTCATGCTTATCTTCTGAAATCTAGCCATTGGATTGAAATTTGTCTGTTAACAGCACAAAGGAGCAACAAAATCTATCATTGTTTTCTTTTTATAAATCCATGTTTTCTTCATTTGCTTTTCGTACTACGGAAATAATGTTCTTGCTAGATGTAGTTTCAAACACTTGGTATTTTGCTTGGATGATTAACTTATCTTGCCTATATTTAGTTAAAATAAATCTGTTGCACCCATTGCAATATTTGAAAATCTTAACGTTCGCACAGGCGACTATAATATTTTATTGCTTCTATTGTTTTGTATTCTCCTCCGTTGCTTTTCGTAACGACTGTTGAATCTACATTTATAGATACTGTAGTAGCGTGTAAGCACACTTTATAGTTAATTAAGGCATTATTGCAGAAAAATGTTTCGTCTCTGCAGGGGTTAGTATGATAAAACTAACACCTAAGTCCGTCGCTGTACGGTATAACGAGTACGTACACTATATATATGCAAACGTAAACCTCATCGCTGGTATAGGATTCTCCTAGGCATTCAAGACATAAATATCTTCATACACATAAGTCTACTTCCTGATTTAATACAAACAATACAGGAATCTCACAGAATCAAAATAAAGCTGAAGAGCAGGAGTGTAAATTGAACTTACTGACCTGAAATCTGGAGAAGCAATACAATGAAAATTAGCAGCATCTTTTGGCTGGTCGTTTCTGTGGTAAATACAGTGGGATTCAACTTGTGATCGGATAAATATACACTGAGGAATGCGTTTAACCCGGAAGAAAGAGACGCAGTCGTGAAAATGTTTTTCGTAACTTACTGCTTCCGCGTAGGATTTGTTTTGCTTCGTTTTTCCTTTTGTCTCTTTGTTAATTTGTTGTTTTTATGACCGTGTACGAATGGAGTTACTGTGAATATTTTGTTTCCTTATCTTATATTCCGCCGGACTGTAGGTGATTTGAACAGGAGAAGCATTGTTGTGGTTAATTTGCCCTTGAAATAATTTATCATGCGTGTTGCTTTTATTTCATAGGGACTGAGAAAATTGTTTGCATTTATGGGGATATTGTAGAACAACCCCTCTACTAGTGGTTATTGGGTTGTTTGGGTTTCTGTTTGGTGTTGGTTGGGGTTCATGTTTTGTAGGGAGGAGATAATTTTCCGGTCCAGGGGTCTACTTGATTTGTAAGGAGAGAAGGGGAGATTTCGGACTTGTCTGGTTTTGAGAGCACACTTTATTTGCGCTCTAAAAGCATACCTTTATGGCAGTTTTAAACAGACTTTGTTAAGAAAAACATGTTTACAATATATGCATGATATTACACTGTATAGCTATTACACAAAATATCTATATAGAAAAATAATAATGCAATATCCAGCGAAGGGTCGAAGCTGGGAATTTATTACATAGTTCTAAATATACTTAGAGTATTTAGTCTTGAATACAATCTCCATCGAAATATATATTTACTATGAAATATTTACTAATTCACAATTACTTCATAATTTCGGCAGCATTTAAATGATATGTTTATTGTCCTTTTACATTTGTCAACAGTTCAGTTTTACAACTAATTTCGAATTCATAGGTAGTACTTTAAATATAACTGAATTTATTACGGTGCTTGTGATGAAATTTACATGCTGTATTTCTTGATTTTTTCTCAGTGATTGTCTAACGGTCTTTTAAGATTTTCGAATGTTGCCCTTAAGAATTTAAGCTGTGGTACATTTTTTCTACTTGATATTAGAGCTTATGTGTAATACGGAACGCCTGGTATTTGATGGTTCGTTCCTTTCAATGAACACATAGTTTTCATAACACGTCACTGACTCAGTACAAGAGTACAGGGTGGTCGGGTGGCCCAGTGGAAAACGCACTCGCCGTTCACCAAGGCGGTGAAAGGTATTGGGTCACCTGCTTGACTACGTGGGTTTCCTCCTATTTCTAACTATCTGTGCGCTTCTATCCGGGCCAACAAGAGTGATTAACATAAGTTAGTGAACCTATTTCACAGTTGTTGTAAAATAAACATACGTATATAAAGTAGAAGAGTTTTGTACAAGCGTTTCCTTCAATGAACACGTAGTTGTGCTATCACTAGGCTGATTATGTACAAAGTTGTTTAACTGCGGTCCTTTCATGAAACATGTAGGTATGTCAACACTCCGCCTAATTCAGTACAAGTATTTTAACAAGAGTTGGTGTATGGCTGTGATCCATTAAACATAACATTGATATTAAAATAAAGTTATGCAATATTGTTTAATTTCATACATGAACAAAATAAAAGTTGAACAAATTTAAACATAATCATTAAGCTATTCACGGCAGTTCATGATTTTCTTTTTCACTTTTGTCGTTCCATCCTTGTTATGGTTCAACGGTCGTCATGCTGTGTTGACACATTCATATACCCATAATGATTGTATCTAATATTTTTTTAGATTCTTTTTTTTCGTCAGTCTTATGTAGAGGAATTTATTTATGTCAAACTTGTAATACAGTATGGTATATGTCGTCAAATTATGTATGACGTCATAGGTGTTGTAACGTCATGCTATGTAAGGCGACATCATTTTTTTTTTATATATATATTCACTGTGCAGTCTCCATGTAAACCTACGAACTCTAATTATTACCAAAGCGTCAGGGAAGAAAGATTAGGATATTTTCAATGACATCAAAATTATCCTTTGGTTTAATCTTAAATAAATTTCATTATCTTCCTCAGAACACAAATCTCGATTCGAAAGGGAATCGCTATAGAAATTGTTCTAGTCCTTTTATCATCGCGTGCTTGACGACTGATTGTGAATGTCTGTTTCTGTTATGATCATTTTGCAATTGAGAACCAGTACCTGATGATTTAGGAGTCTCTGAAGGACTAGAGGATGATTCGTTGAGATCTTTACCTACACCCGTGTTCTTAGGTGTCACTGTCACTGACCCTGACTTGTACTGGGCGAGCTTGTTGCCCTCTCTTTCTGTCAGCAAGACGATAAGTCTCGAGACGAACAGCAAGTTTCTGTCTTTTTATTGACCGTAAAAATGCTTTCCTGAGCCTTAACCTCAAGATCATTGATTGAATCAGTAAAATGACCAAATGACAATATAATAGATTGTAACTGACGATGGTGCCAAAGGATATGCTTGTCTTGTTTGTTTCATAATTGGCCGAGCTAAATATAGCAGAGATTCACTCTTCCCCTTTACTCTACTGTAGAGCTGTGCCCTAAATACATCTGTTTTGTTGACAGAGCCATGACGACTATTAAGTCCATGTACAAGACTTGTCAAAATATCGTTGTGGAACTGAGGTTACCCCTCTGACAAAAGCACGAGCTGCACTCTGCAGACTACCCGCCAAATAAAGTGATTTGACAGAGTAAATATAGTTGTTTATTTCAGATTATACTGAAAATTGTGTAAGATGATCTTCCAGATCATTACTTCCGTCATAAGATTGGAGTTTCAGTTTTCATACGAGTGTTTTCCATGTCTTTTTCAAGTTGCTATTTCATCATTTCAGATATACTGGACTGAATTTCATCAAACTTATTCTTTGCATCTGTAACAAACAAAAAGACTGATTCATCAGTTCATCATTCAACTAAGCATTGAGGAGAGTAGTTTCACTTTGGGTTTGATCATGCTCAACACTTGAATGTGATGAGCTTGTCTCATCACCAGTCTCATAAAACTCTTCACTGTGTAAATCAGGGAAACCCAAAGTAACTGAATCATCCATTCAATAAATATGTAAACGAAAGATAGCACCAGGCTTCGTTGTAAATATGTATCCGATCAGCATCAGTTTAAACACAGGGATTTCACCGCTGCAACGAAATGCTGCATACATTTACTAAGGTTGCGTATCTCCAATATTCACTAAAGCGCTGCAAACATTATGAGTTCGATACTGAGAGGAAAAAATATAAATACAGCAGTGTCTACGACTTAGGCCAACCCAACTCAGATAATAATTAACAAATAGTTGAATTTAGTCATGATATATTTATTAAGTTAGATACAGGTCAGTGGAATATTGCAACCTTGGCTCGGTAGCACGACGCATTATCCAGTCATACTTTTGAACAACAGGCATATGAAAAATACTCAAGAAAATGCCCCCTTCAAGCAAAAATGAAAGTGCAAGAACAAATTAAAACTCTTGAAGGAATAGCACAGGGATAGCAGACTAATTCGTTTGTGGTATGTTGGGTTTGAACAAGAAGATATAGTACAGACGGAGATCTCTGGTTTTGACGGGGTCCAATATAAAAAGTCGATTACGATCATGCAGTTAGCAGTGAATTTAAAGTTCCATCAGGTTTGGTCCCTAGAGCAGCAGTTGTTCATTTCTTGTTCTAACACAGGAGAAGATAACTCTATACAGGGTTGTTTCGCCCAGTCAGTCTTTCGCCCTTCGCCCATGAATCAATTTTCGTCCAGTGTTAGTTTCGCCCTTCTCAATTGTTTTAAATGTTTAATGTTCTGTTTACTTATATTTGCTGTATTGCTTAATTCATCTTGATTAGGGGACACAAAAACGACGAAAATTGAATTGAACTGCAGCGAACATTTTCCGTAGTAATTTGACATTCGATACGTTTACTAATTCTTATTCGTTTATTCATTATTGCATCCACGTCTTACAAACCAAGTACCGTATCATAGATGGACATACATATCAATGCATCATATAAACTATACCATATCTAATATATATATTGTGTAAGTAATAACTGCACTGGAGCTTGAACTAACAGACATTTTCTTACAAGCATGTTTGTTGAAGTCAGTTTTGAATACACCACCATCAATGTTATTCAAAAATAATATCAAGGTACAAGACCATGCTAAGACTGAAAAAGACATGTTAATTTCGAATTTCGTTCGCGCAAACAATAGCTTTCTTCCCTTTATCGATTTTTAACAGACGCACTTGCAAAAGCGCAGAGACAATGTTCACTCTGATACTATCCCAAAAACTAAAATCCAAATGAAACACAATTAACACGATATAATGATAGGAAACATGCTTGCTACATTTAACAGAAATAAATAACGCTAAATTAATTGTCATTAAAAATCTCGTTAGTTAAGGTGCTGTTAATCCTTACAATGCATAGTTGTTAATTTTTCAATCAATGAAAATTGCTTCATAGTATTCAGAACAACAACATCATCAATAAAAGAAACGGCCTACTGCATTTATGCTTGACATTTTTTGTAACCTTCTGTCCCATTCATTAAAGAAATATTTACTTTCTGATCAGAAATAATAAATATAAAACATATACAACCACAGATACTTTACTATCATAGTAAAGTTAACATAAACGTATCGTCAATGTTTCTATACTGACAAGTCTTGATTATAAACCATATTGACATGTTAACTTAAAAGACAAAACATAACCTGAAACATGAAGTACGTCGGAACTGGGTGGTAACGGCATATTTACATAACCTTCATCTCCTGGAATGTTGGATGATGTTCCGTTTGTATTATCATTTTGATGTTGATTCTTTGAAGACAAACATCTTTGGGAGGAAAGAAATTAAATGTATCAAAATTCAGTTTAACTAATCTTAAACCATAACTTACATTTTAAGTGCAGTTGTACAGTGTACAGTGTGAATTGTAGGTGGTGTGAAAATGGAGGCGTATTTCGTGTCGGGTAAATTGGCGCTAAAATATCCGAGTAGATAAATATTTATCAAATTTATAAATACATATTAAGTAATATTGATTATAGAGACATAGATTGTATAGATTTTAAAACCATTGGCAACGCGAAATATGTATACTGTGCACAAGTTTAAGAGTCACAACGTTAACGCAGACATTTGCATACGTGAGAATTCTCACATTTACAATACAGCAGTCCCCCGTTATACCAGCATATTTTGTCCCGTGCCAAGTTTGGCGGTATAACGGAGGTGGCGATATAACGGGGTTTCAGTAGGACAGCCGAATGTACAACACATGTGCAGTAAATTATACATATGACATAATTCCGAAAGAAACAAAGCATGAAAAAAACATATATATTTATTTTGAAATGAATGCGGACAGATAATTTATATCATTTGTAGTTTTTAAAAGCACTGTTAGTTAACAAATAACAATTATAATTCACATTTGTATAATTCACCGATTTGTAACGTGATCTCGGATATAAAGTGCAACACGTAAGGTTGTTACAGGTATTGACCAGGGTCGGGTCCTACCTGAGAAAACGTTTAAACATGTTCCCGGGACATCTGTTATTATTTGTTGATATTATTTTATTAGTTTCTTTGCATTACAATAAACGAGATACCGTCCATCCTTATGCAACTTTTACCGACATACCTTCTGAAGTATAGGCCATCCGCACTGCAGTTAATTTTAAGTCAACGCACACACATTTATAAACACGAAAATTTCAACTTTTATATTACTTGAAATACTGGTAATGTACAACAATTCATTAAGCGTAGCTTAGACATTCTGTTTTTCAATTTGTGAAAAACAATGTTAGATATATCAATCTTGCAATAACATATTTACTGTCAGTGCTTCTTCATCGTTATACCTACCTTCTATCATAGAGGATTGTGACGACCGTCGCATATAACATTATCAGACACATGAAAACGATGATTGTTGCAAAAGCGGGAACTGAAATGAAGACCTAAAATAATTAATGGAAAGCCATAGGGGATTATTTTAAATATTCCCATTTGTTTAATTACGGTACCACAAAGTTAGAATGTAAAGTTGTTATTGCTGTTGCTTTTTCAGAGAGCGCCTGGAT